GTACCGCTCCCACCCCGAGCAGAGGGATAGCACAGTGGTTTGAGCATTGGCCTGCTAAACCTAGGGTTGTGAGTTCAATCCTTGAGGGGGCCATTTAGGGATCGGGGCCAAAAATCTGTCTGGGGATTGGCCCTGCTTTGAGCAGGGGGTTGGACTAGATGATCTCCTGAGGTCCCTTCTAACCCTGATATTCTATGATCAGGCTGATCTGCCAGCCCCCCCGCCCAGGTATCAGGCCGGCCACAGCACCACGCCGAGCCACCGCACCCCCTGCCTCTGATGACCCTCACAGCCAAGCCACCGGCCCCCCAAGTGCTGGGTCAGCCTCCCCCACTAGCGCCATCCTGAGCTGCCAGGGCCCCCGCCCCCTCCACCAGCGCCGGACCAAGCTGCTTGTTTCACGTTGTAGTTATAAAGACCATCTCCACATAAGCTTTTCTACAAGTTCAAACACTCTCCTAACAGCCAACTCCCTTCCTCCAGCTCTTTCCCCTCTCCTGCTATTCGTTTTAGCAAGCCAACAGGGCAAGAGATTTCACAGGCCTGCTGCAAACTTATAGGAAGTCCAAAGCTTGGGTCTGGCAGCAGCCTTAATTCTTCTGCATATAATTCCATCAGCAGCTGCATGCAGCAGAGCAAAATACTTTGGCTGCCAATGGAAGTGATTCGAAATGCTGAAAACCTCCCTGTGCCAATGGGATTTGAAAGTCATAGAATTAGAGGCCTATCTGCCATAGCTAATGCTGCTGCCCCTCACCTTCATCGCTGGTGAACTAACAAACTTCTTGTTTTATTGTGTCTGTCTGCAGCACAAAGCCGGTGCATGAAAAAGCAGCTTCCCTGAAGAGCTCTGAGCTCATGCACAGCCAGGAGAAACTGGAGGCGTCTCATAAGGAGAAGAGCTTGGATGCCCTGGATGGCAGGTGAGCTCTGAAATGGTTTGGATTTGTAGGATCTGATGACAGATTAAAGTCTGGAACCATGTTGGTTGTGATCAGCTAATTAGTTCTCTGACATGCACAGGGTGCGGTTTTATTTTAAGTACTGGTTGTGAACAGCTTCCCCTGAGATGTGCTGGCCCTCTGTGCAGCATACCTCCCACAGTGTGACCACATAACCTCTTCTGATCTCTCCCTCTCCCAGGGACGCAGCCACCTTCCTGCATGTCAGAGCAGCAGCGTGCTGAGAACAGAGCTCCAGGCCTAAGTCTTTAGGGCTGTCTGGCCTGGGTGCGTTGACTGCTGCAGTGAAGGAGCTTTCTCCCAACATTCATAGCTGGAGTAGGGCCTTCTAAATACACTTTTTGCATGACTCCAGTGTGCTCTGCAGGGGATCAGTGAAGGGCTGAGAAATCCTATTAAACTAGGCTGGGCCTGGTGTTTCCTGCCAAATATTTGCCCTTCTCCCTGTGTGCCAAGTTCTATCAACAATCACAGCTGGCCCTGGAGTGTGAAATGAAACCCAGCAAGTAGGAAGCTCTTGCCAGCCTTTCACAGGAGAATCCCATATTAGCAGTTAAGGGTTGGATGCTAAACATACCAAGTAATTCCCTTGAACTGCTGCTGGGTCCCTCGCTGTGATCTAGGGTAGGGTCCCAAGGCTACTTGTAGTTTGCAGTCCCCAAAGTGGGGTGAATATAAAGATTTATATCCCATGGCACAGAGGGTGCATCTACTCCAGTGTCCTGTCTGGCGGCGGCCAGTGCCGGATGGTTTACACCTGCTTCCTGGCATAACACCTTAAATTGTCCACTACTGAACCATGAGAGGAAGATTCCTACCTGACTCCAGCTAGTGTTCAGCTTATATCCTGAAATGCAAGCATTTACACCAATTATATCTGTTACCTTGGCTAGCGTCACTGCAGATGACTCATATAAATGTCCAATTCTGTTCCCCTGAGCTACTTGTTTGTCTCCTGCAGCAGCTAGTTTCACAGGTTAATTATACTGTGTGCGTAAGGGACCAGGGGCCTGAGAGGGTAGGAAGCTCCTATTGCTTAGGTACTTCCTCACTTTTAATTTCAAGGGCCCTCTTATTAACCACCCCAGGCTGCGTTCTCGGCACCATTCATTATGTTGTATACTTCTGTCGTATCTGCTTTGGGGAGAGGGGTGGGGTGTCCAATAGATGGCTTTTTACTTGACTAGGATCTCTCTCTCTCGCAGTTTGCATCTGAATGAAGCTCTGAAGGATGAAGAAATAAAGAAATGTCTCAGAGAAGCGGTGAGTCGTGGAGAAACGCTGCCTGTGGTGCATTTGAACTGTTACTTCAGCCTCCCAGCTGATGGCTGCCATGCGATTGGTGGTTATGTGAAGATAAGTGTTTACTGTCTTGTTGCCAGTCTGGGTCAGTGTTGGGCAACGGCACCTCTGTGTGACTGACCAAGAGGCTCTGCAGTGCCTTAAGCTGAGCGCTGATCACTGGACAGGAACTCCTGCTCTGGGCGTGCTGATTGCTCTGCAAGCGCCGTACGGGGAGCAGGGTCTGGGGCCAATCCTGCTACGCGGTGGGGATGCTGTCTTTAGAGGTTCTGCTGCCCCTCTGAGGCCCAACCCTCCCATCTGCTGCACCTCCTGGGTTCCATAGTCTCAGCCCCAGTTGGGAATCTCCTCCCTCCACAACTTCTTTTGCTGCACCCGCCGCATCCTTTCCCTTGGCATGAGCAGGCCCAGGTGTATGTCCTCTTCTCATCCCCCCTCCCCCTGCCCGCTTGTATCTTCCACCTTTACAAATCCAGGAGGCTATGTATTTCCACTGCCAGTCCCTTTTCCTGCCACTACCAATTTCTGCACATGAGGAGGGGAGAGAATGAAACCTTTGACCTTACTCTGGAAGGACTAGAGGCCTAGAAGGTCATTCAAGTGGCTGCTCCTCTAAGGCATGCAGAATACGGCCTGACAACAAGACTGTGAGCTAGTCTGTGTGCACTGACAGCCTTGTCTATCACAGAACCCTCTCTGTGCCTGGGATAGCCCATTGCACCACGGCCCACTTCTAGAGACCACAGTCGTCTATGTGCCTGGAGCTGGTGGACCTTCCTCTGCAGCCTCTGTCATTAACGTGACCTCTCTCCAAGAGTGCGGGAGCTGCCTCCACTCAGCCGGACACCCGGTTCAGTTTCACTGCAGCACAGTCTGTGTTTATTGACAGTGTTACAGAGCACGAGAGCCGGAGAGTCAGAGACCCATTTCTGCATTAATGGGAATGTACAATGGAAAGCATCACTAGGCTGGCCATCGCTTAGCTATGGAATATGCATCACACTGTAACATGGGGTCTAACCCCTATCAAAACAGCAGTGTGACTTGCTCCTGAGGGGAAAAGCCTCTGGACAGAGGGTCTGTGTGTAGTCCCTGCCCTGTAATTACAGGGTCTCCTGCTCACATGCAGCTGTCTGCCTTTCTTGGTGATGTCTGCTTTTTGACACAATGCTCACTTGTTAGCATGGAGTCACAGTATATTTAGTTTGTGATCTATACGTTTACCCTGTACTGTGTACGTGTGTGTGTGTGTGTGTGTGTGTGTGTGTGTGTGTGTGTGTGT